TCACCACTGGCCGCCGTATGGCCCCTAACGAGATTGAGCGAAAGATTGATGCTATCACCGAGAAGGATATCATGGACTTCGCCAACCGAAAACTTTGGGACCGGGATATTGCAGTCAGCGCTGTGGGAACTATTGAGGGTCTCTTCGACTACCAGAGACTTCGCAACACCATGAAGCCCAAGTTTTAAGGAAGAGAAGGCTGATGGGATTGTGAAAATCGAAATAAGGGTATAGAGTGTATGAGATACCGTTTACAGGCCTAGTGTACCATAAGATTTCCTCTGTTCATGCTAGGTAACGCGGAGTTGTGATAATTGTGTCTTGACTGTACTGCCATCTGTAGCTAATTGCAATTTTGTCAAACAGTGTCTGTACTACTTCCGAGGTAGCGTCTATGATCGCCCTGAATTAGAATGTATTGTGTCATGATCATTGGTTAGATGAGAAGATGGACACCTACCCCTCCTCTGCCATCTCCTCGTCGACATCCTCACCAAACATATCCTCTACTGTCCCGCCCTCAACCCCATCTCCGCCAATATCTTCAGGCTCGGGACCCTCAATACCCTCCATGGCATCGCCCCCTTGGTCCTCTTCCTCATCGTCCTCTTCATCCCATACATCCTTCAGTCCCCAACTTGTGCCACTCAGTACGAACCGTTCGCTTGGTAGTCGCACACCCCATTCACTGGGCACAATTTTAGGCAGTGCCACCTTGTTGCGTTCGCGCGCGAGTTCTTGCATGTAGTCTTTGCTAATTCCCCCGCCTGCGTTTCCTCCGCGGAACTGGTAGCTGAGTCGCGCAGCAATGGCGAGCTTAACGGCATTGGCTGTGACTGCAGCGTCGCCTGCAGGTGCTGAGATTGCTCCAGCGTTTGCTGATGGCTTGGAGCCGGCTTGTGTGACATATGGATCGCCGGAAAGATGTAGCGCATCGCTGAGAACAGATGAGGTATGACGGTAGGCGAAGTCGAGAAGGAGGAGGGGAACGCGTGGCTCGTAAGCGGTGACGCCTTGCGATGTGAGTAGTAGTTCGATAAGCCTTGAGTCGCGCGGTCGAGGGGCGGTTGTTGATGGCGCTGGAGGAGGTGCGTTCTGTGAGGCCGCAGCAGCAGGTTGGCTAGAAGAGGCCGCCGTGGTCTGTGTGCTTGGTAATGGCTGCGAAGTGCCTGCCGATGAGGCGGGAACCCCGTTTGTTTGGGGTTGACTTGATGACATCTTGATTGATGCTACAATGCTTCGTAATAGGTATCCTGGATGCGACTGTTCGTGAAAGCCTTAGGCGATATCACGCGAAGCGCCCGAGTTCGTGTCTGGCAAGGCTGAAAGACCCCCGTATTTTGAAAGAGTAAAGTTGATAAGATATAGTTGATGTATGTGAATGAGAGTGTTTTTAGAGTTGGGGAAAATGCAGTAAAAGTTAACGTGCTAAGTCAAGCGCTTGTTGAACCTCGAATTATTTCCTTTGCGACGGTGAAGTCGCATGCCGCGTTCTTTGGCCGGAGGTTTCGATAATCCGAGACGTGATCTGGTAGCGATGAGTGCACAGACCACACCTTAAATCCTGATGGGCTCATGGCGATGAAAGAGCTTTCTTAAAGAACGAAGTCATGAGAGTGACAGGATCAAAATGAGTTGGGTAGTCTGAGAGGCTATTATTTAGTATTAAGTGAAGGCCGCAGGAAATATTTAATTATACTTTTTTTCTCTCTCACTATCATCCATTTAAAGTAACTGCCTAGGTAAGGTAGGTACTGCCTTGGTAGCCACTGGCGGAAGTCGGATTTCAAGCAAGGAAAGAACGATGGAGGGGCAATGAGTAAAGAGTGCCCCACCATTTGTCGCCGATGCAGGAGGACTCATAGTCATCGCCTCAACTTTTTCCACGGGCGATCGATTTTCACTCATCATTCACAACTCGATTTAACAACCTGCATGTTAAGCTTTCAACTATAATTCACACCGATTGAGTTTATCTGGTTTGTTACAAAAATGGAGACGACTCTCCCGCTGCCATTCTTGGTGAGCATTGGCAGCCCCGATGGCCAGGCTACCAATGATGGCCTCACTCGTCAAGAGATTGCCCTTCTGGGAGCTCCTTTCCATGAGGAAGCTTCTAAAAGTTGGGGTCGCCCCAGTGCCGGAACCAATGTTCACATGGATGCCACGAGTTTAAGTAACCCAGACGATGTGGTTGCGTTGCTCGATGGCGGGGTCCGAACGGTTTTTGTTGCTTCAGAGTCCTACTCAGAGTATACAGAATATGGCGCAAGGGTCATTCCCACTGTTTCTTCCCTTGACATTTCCACAGCTTCCGAGAACGGTCTATTGGTAAAGAATTTCGATATTTCATCTAGCGACGTCGACAAGTTTGTCGAGGAAGCATCAGCAAAGAAGATCAAGAGCCTTTACATTAAGCCAGCTCCCAAGACCAATATCGAAAAGTTCATCGAAATTGCCAAGAAGGCCAATGCAATCCCTATCATTCCTTCCACAGGGTTGACGACCGACAAGAACGATTCGAGTCGACTATTGTTATCTAAGATTATCGCATCATACTGGAAATCCGATCGACCTGATGGCCTTATCCCTACTGTGGTTACCGATGATGCCGGGATCGCGTTGGGTCTCGCCTATACCAGCGAGGAGAGTATTCTGGAGGCTCTGAGAACACAAACCGGGGTTTACCAGAGTCGCAAACGTGGTCTTTGGGTGAAGGGACTTACTTCCGGCGACACTCAGGAACTGTTGCGAATTGGTCTCGACTGTGACAACGACACTCTCAAATTCGTGGTCAACCAGAAGGGCCGTTTCTGCCACCTCCAGCAGTTCGGTTGCTTTGGAGACCTCAACGGCATTTCAGCACTCGAACAGACACTCAAGTCTCGCAAGGAGTCTGCCCCTGAGGGCTCTTACACGGCCCGCTTATTCTCCGATGAGAAGCTTCTGCGAGCAAAGATCATGGAGGAGGCAGAAGAGCTTTGCGATGGCAAGACCAAAGAGAACATCGCTTTCGAAGCTGCTGATCTGATCTACTTCGCTTTAACTAAGGCTGTTGGCGCAGGTGTTAGCCTCACAGACATTGAGGCTAATCTGGACGCCAAGAGCTTGAAGGTCAAGCGTAGGACAGGCAATGCCAAGGGCAAGTGGGCGGAGAAGGAGGGTATCAAGACTGATGCAGCCCCTGTGAAGCCCTCACAGCCAGCAGTTAATAAGCCTGCTGATGGGCGTATTGCCATGGAGCGAGTTGATGCCTCAAAGATCTCCGAGGCCGACCTCATAGAGAAGCTCAAGAGACCTTCTCAGAAATCCCCTGACGCCATCTTGAAGATCATTCAGCCCATCATCGAGGACGTGCGAACTGGCGGCGACAAGGCTGTTCTGTCTTACACGCACAAATTTGAGAAGGCCACTTCATTGACATCGCCTGTGTTGAAGGCTCCCTTCCCCAAGGAACTTATGGATATCTCGCCTGAGACCATTGAAGCTATTGACATCTCTTTTGAGAACATCAGGAAGTTTCACTCTGCACAGCAGGAGGAGAAGTCTCTTCAGGTCGAGACTATGCCTGGCATTGTCTGTAGCCGCTTCTCGAGACCCATTGAGAGAGTCGGTCTTTACATCCCTGGTGGAACCGCTGTTCTTCCCAGTACTGCTCTGATGCTTGGAGTTCCAGCTATGGTGGCTGGTTGCCAGAAGATTGTGTTTGCCTCACCTCCCAGATCTGATGGTCGCATTACCCCTGAAATTGTCTACGTTGCTCACAAGGTTGGTGCTGAGAGCATTGTACTGGCTGGTGGTGCTCAGGCTGTTGCCGCTTTGGCTTATGGTACGGAGAGTGTCACCAAGGTTGACAAGATTCTTGGACCTGGTAACCAATTTGTGACTGCGGCCAAGATGCACGTCAGCAACGACACCAATGCTGGCTGCGGTATTGACATGCCAGCTGGACCCTCTGAGGTTCTTGTTGTTGCTGACAAGGATGCCAACCCTGCTTTTGTTGCCTCCGATCTTCTTTCTCAAGCTGAGCACGGTGTCGATAGTCAAGTCATTCTGCTTGCTGTTGGCCTCAGTGAGCAGGAGCTCCAGGCTATTGAGGACGAAGTTCACAAACAAGCCCTTGCTCTTCCTCGTGTCGATATCGTCCGAGGATCTATCGCCCACTCCGTCACTGTCCAGGTCAAGAATATTGAAGAGGCCATGCGCATCAGCAACGAGTATGCCCCTGAACATCTCATCCTTCAAATCAAGGATGCCGAGAAAGCTGTTGATCTAGTCATGAACGCTGGCAGTGTGTTTATTGGTCACTGGACCCCTGAGAGTGTTGGCGACTACTCTGCTGGTGTCAACCACTCTTTGCGTAAGTTCCCTCATTAGTTTGTGTTATACGATTGATGCTAACAACCTTTTCAGCTACTTATGGCTTCGCCAAGCAGTACTCTGGTGTCAATTTGGGCTCGTTCCAGAAGCACATTACCAGCTCCAACCTTACTGCTGAAGGTCTCAAGAATGTTGGTACCGCCGTCATGCAACTGGCCAAGGTCGAGGAGCTTGAGGCTCATAGAAGGGCTGTGGAGATCCGACTTAACTATTTGAAGCAGCATCAGTAGACAGGCACATATAACAAAAATGGAAAAAAGGCGTATGTAGACAACAGATGGGTTTTCTTTAGGATAGGGGCGTGGACTTGGGGATTGATGTTGTTTCAATATGCACACAGACCACAGTGCTCAAGAATAAATGCAGCTTGCTCAAGTAGTATATTTTAGCCTGTCAAACAGCAAAAGCTTTTCTGTCAGAATGAATGCCATGATGCAATCACTACAAGTACAATGAAATGCTCAACGCCGCGCTATGCCTCAGTATGTTAAAACCCTTTCTCCCTCTTGCCACCTCTATCCATCTCCTCTTATTCAGTCAAGTAAGACTCTCGCCATCAGTATCTATGAAAAACAACCCATAAACACCCTAAAAGCAAACGCCTGTGAATTCGTTACACCTTATTGCATGTTGGGAGCAGCAGCAACAGCCTCGGTGGCCTGTTCGTGATACTTAGCTTTCCTTCACTTCACTTCATTTCTCAACGGTGAGATGACCAACCCCTGTTATGTGTTGGGCGAGAACGTCCTCCTTAAGCTGACCTTGACGCCTTTGTCCAATAGGAGTAGCATCAGAGGTTCCGTCGCCCTTGTGTTCGTCTTGATGGCCTTCCTCGCCATCTTCGTATATCTCATCTTCATCCTCCTCGTCGTAAGCTTCTTTCAAGTCGCGTGTCATAGACGCCTTGAGTTGCTCTTCGTCGACGCTACCGCCCAAAACACTTGCAGCTTCGGCAAACTCATCCATAGATGCTCGAGAGATGTAACTATCGGCAAGTCCTTCACCGATCTCGTCCACATCTTCATCAATTTCGCCATCCTCATCGTCATATTCCTCTTCATCATCACCATACTCGCTGGTGGGTCCTCCTGGGCCGTCCTCATCATCGTCATCGTCACTCTCGCTTGCTGAAAAGTCGGCCATGGCAAGAGGATCATCTCTCCAATACGTGAAATCCGTGTACTCCTCGCCGCCACCTTTTACCAGTGTGCTCACGGGAGGGAAGTAATGGTCAACGACTTCGTTAATATTCACGTAGCTCATCTTGAGCTTGTTGAGTGTCAGCAGATCAAGGGACACTTCAGAGTTGGAATTGATGGTGAAAATGCGATTTCGAGGGACGTCGACGGTCCGGTAGGAGATTTGATCGGTCAAACGATTTCCGTAGCCGGCATAAAAGGGATGACGGTCTGGGCCGTATAAGTTTCGAATGTCCCGAAGAGTTGCCATCTTGAAGATGTGGGGTTTGCGAAGGTAGACCTCTCGCCTCAGTGCAGCCATGGTTCTATCGGGCGACAGTATTGTAGGACCGGGCGGCATCCTGTAGCCATCCTGAACGATACCCGCCAGGTAGGCTCTTGTAGTATCAGATTGTCCAACAGATCGACTGGTAAGGTACATGATGTTATAACCATTGGCGGAAATATCACTGTACAATTTAGCCACGCCTGAGTGAGTCCAGTCGCGTCCAATCATGTTCAACACGTGGCCGAGGGCATCCGACTTGGTAATAGTACCGTCAATGTCTGAGATAACAACAGGCGTCTCATGCTTCCAGAGGTACATGTTTGCTTTGCAGGTAGCTCGGTTGACAGTGAAAGCCATCGAGTTCGCGCCTGGCTGAAGCTTCAGATCCTTGAGCTGCTGACTAGTCAATCGCAAGGTCTTGGCGTAATTTCTGTTGGGATCTCCTGCGTGGCCCGAAGAGCTCGGCGGAGTGCGGGGAGGAGTTTGCAAATCCATGGGGCCAGCGTCGGACTCGGCTCTTCGATGTAATGGAATGGGAGAAGCAGTTGCATCGCTACTGTCACTCTGATAACCGGGATCAGAAATAGCATCGGCTGCGGTAGCCCTACGGTGCGACTGCAACGACGCCTCGATAGTCTTGTTCATAGCAGCCTGCTTGGCCTCCTCACTGCTGTAGATCCATAGGTTTCCCTGTTCGTCGAAGCCAATGAGTGCGCCGATGTCATAGTTTCCATCCAACTCTTCGGAAAGAATCTGGCGAGCCAAAATCTCAGCCCGGAGAATGTCCTCCTCGTTTCCCTTGAACCCATTCATGTCCAGCATCAAATCACCGCTGTCTGTGACCTTTGTGGGTATGCTTGCGGCAGAGAGTCCCTTAGACAAGGCCCTGGCACGTTCAAGAGCCTCACCCGGTGCCAGAGGCGGAGGACTAGAGGACCGTTCAGAAGCAACATGCTCATCGTCATCGGCGGAACTATTCCCGTCTAGACCTCGGCTTCTAGCACTGGCACGGAGAATATCGTCACTATGTGGCCGGGGCACCCTTGAAGACCAGTCGCCGGACGCTGGGCGGGCGCTGGATAACTCTGGAGAAGTCGACAGTGGTGTGATCAAGCCTGCTCTAGTGTTAGTATATGTCTGGTGGAAGAGGGCAGCTTAACCTACCGTTGCCATCATCCTTCTTGTAGAGCACAGACGGGAGTGGTCGTCGCAGCCTGGGCTCTGAAGCGTCGAGCTCGAACGCTTCTGGCTCCTGCAAACCAGATTCTGACTGCTCCGGGTTGAGCGGTGGACTGCTCGCAGGACTAGAAGCAGGAGAAACGAGCGGTGATGTCTGTAGCGACTGTGGGATCCTGTCTGTGGTCTCGAAGACGAAGAAGGCCTCGCCGCCTTCGCCGAGTTTCATGGAATAGCTTTGTTTGACGCCATTGACCTTGAATTCGACCTTCTTGTCCGACGGCCTTAGGAGAGAGAACTTTCCGAATCGGACATGGAACGGCGAGCAGACCAGAGAGCCATCTTCGTGTTCGACGACAATGACATCGATAGCACCACTGAGAGTCGCAGGGTTGATTGAATTCCAGGCTGTCGAGACGGACTCGCTGAGGCCGCGCACGTATTGCATCTTGCCTCTTACGGCAGAGGACGTCGTATGGGAAAGATCTTTGAGTTGTTGGTGTTGATCGCGAGTTGGAGAATCTGGAGCGGCTTGTCGCGGGGGATATAAAACGACGATCCGAAGGGCTCAACGACACTGAGAAGCTCCCGAAAGGAAACAAAACAGCAGCAGGTGACAAGAGCCCGGGGCCCTAAAAGAAGTTTATCTGAACACGGAGGGGAAACTTAAGTGTAAGGCGATCCAAAGGTATGCAGTCGGAATTCTAAGGCGAGTTAGACAGAGCAGAAAAGATGGAATGGAATGTGAAATGTTGGGGGAGTAGGTGCAGGTACAGATTGGTTTGAGGCGGGTTGAGCGCAAGGCAATGGACAACGGAGGTACCGAGTACAAAGAGACGCTTGCTGTGGTTGAGCGGGCTTGGCCTGGTCACCTTTTTTTCCCCCTTACCCCAGTCGCCTAGTCGATTAGATCAGGTGAAGACGTCACCAGGATTGGAGAAGTGTTTTTTGATCGGAATTTTAAAGTCCTAAACAACAACAAAAATGAGAGTTATTTGGATTGAAACATCACAGGAACGAGTGCGTAGTAATTTCATCATAATTTGGAGACGTCTTACTCCCGTGCCACGGCACACCTCATAGAAGCATAGAAACTGCCTGCAGTCAGCTAAGAATGACGAAGTCACTGTAACAGAAATGCCATGAGGGGCGTCCCAACATGACACTGCCGTAGTACCAGGTACAAGGAACGCTATCCCAGCTCGCAGGGGTCTAGACGTCCGCCAGAATCATGATGGATGATGGATGCCCCAGCAGAATCCATCACATGAACGGCTCAGGCGGACTAAGTAGCCGAGTTAAGACTCTGGTCACTCGGTTTTCGGATACTTTTTTGTAAGAGGATTCTATAAACCTGATTAGATGTTATTTTTCACAGTTGAGTGCGTCATATTCTCTAAATTCTGGTACATACTGATACTGTTATAATTGGATGGCGCGGATAGGCTGTTGAATCTGCAGGGATTTATTAGCATGGCTTTGTTCAACGGTTGAAACAAAGACGCCCACGCCTACTCGAGTCAACCGAATATGCTGGCTACACAGCTACAATATCTCACAGCAGATAGTGATAAGTCATTCGAATTCCGGCGGCTTTGCTCCGTCTGGAGGTTTGGTTATAATCACTACATACCTCTCAGTCAACAACACTCGTTGGCATTATTCTGGTGACATTCTATATATACCATCTTCATATATATAGTACTCCGATCCAAACTCAGGGAGTGTCTTTTTTTCTCTCTCCAAACTTTTCTGTTGTTCTTTCAACTCTGTATAGAGATATTGGAATGCCTTCCATCCACTTACACACTGACCGCTTTGTGTTAACCGAGGCAGTTAGGTCAACATTACAGCATATACAGGCTGCAGGGGCTAGAAATGTATTGTGCATTGTAGATTACTACGTGCCGGTATCTCTAATTAGAGGGACTTATAGCTAAGTAGTAAGTATAGTACATTAAGAAATACCTATCTTAAGATCTCTAGTAATAAATTATGATATCTTAAAAGGTAGAAATAACTTCTTTTTAACTTCTTAGATCTTTAGTCATAGCCTTTATACAGTACAGGACCATAATAGTACATTTCTAGCCCCTGTAGCCTGTAAGTGCTTTTAGACATAAAGAGAAAAGCAAAAGCTTTCCTATATATATCCTGAAATGCTGGGAATATATCTTGCTTTATCTACGCAGCACTTATATATCAAACAAACCATCTTTACCCACCTTACCCTGTACGTTTAGACAGCTACTAAAGGCCATAGCTTTGCGTGTGATATAGAAATTTAACTTGCCTCCAGGTAGATAGGCAAATCTTGTTACCATCTTGCACTCTGATAAAGATTTATGCTGCCTTATCACATATATCCTTAGGGAAATCTGACAATTGTTGGTACCTACCTAGTATTCAAGAAGTACCCGCTACTTCAAAGGGTACCTATTTCTTCAGCAGCACCTAGTGGGGATTGGTCAACAAGCCGCGGTTCAAGCACATGCTGAACCACCACCGAAAAGTTCCACATCATTTTATTATAGGTTCAGAAATCTCGGATTTTTAAGAGGTTCGTGATTCGTTCCCTTGTTTTCTCTCAAGCTCGATCCATTGCCAAGAGAGAAATGCTAGGGTAAAAGGCGCTGTGCCGAGGTGATACTGATGTCATTGATCGATCAAGGCTCGTGTTTGCAACTCACTAGTTGCGTTTATGGAGTAAAACAGACTGTTAAGGAACAAGGCACAACCAAAGCAAACCATTCGTCCAAAGAAGACCAACTTGGCGAACATTATCAGTCCCAGAGGTGGAAAATGTTAAATCCAGCGCAAACAGATTCACATGCTTGAAGAGTTCAAAGTCGATAGTATCCATCGGTCCGTTGGCATTAGGCAGGGATAACAACTCCAGGTTGAGTAAAGCCTCGGAGAAAGGCTCATGCCTTCTCGGACAAGACACGGGCACTAGAAGAAGCCTTAAAGCTGAAGATGAGGCGGGAACCGGCAATCGCAAAAGCTCCCTAAGTTGATAATGATGATGCCGGCCAAGACTTACCGTTTGGCCATGAGAGAAAAATGAGAAAGAATTTATTATCCGAGGAACCCAGAGAGAGCATCGATGATCAGAGGCAGATTATTGACCAACTAACTAACGTACCTACTTTACATTGAATCCAATGCCGCTATGCAGACATTGTGTATGACCAATTGAGGGCTAACGATGGTCAGGAACTCGCCTATCGTGCACTCGGCGCTCTCGTCCACACTCTGCAGGGTGTAAAACGGCAGAAACCCTAAATTGGCCTTGTTCACAATGGTAAATAATGATGCCGTGCAGACGGGACCCCATTATTAAGACCCGAGCCGTTGGGGAAAACTCAGCCATGCATGTCGTGTCTTCCGTGAGCGTGAAACTTCAAATCTGACGCAAACATCACCAGTGACGTTTACAAGGGACTGTTCACCCGCTTACGCACGCTAGCTAGTAGCGCGCCATGTTCGTGAGTGCATTCCGGCAGTTTTACATGAATACTAACACTAAAACTATGAATATAGGTTGGTAAGAATTGGAAACTGATTGAATTTGCCGACCAAATGAATTGGTTGCAACGATAACAGTCAACTCTGTTGGAAGTTTATGTATAAACGGGGTATTCTAATGACAGCATTGCTCGAAAAACTGTGACAAACTTGTGGCAAACGTTGGTAAAATACAGTGTAATGAAAACAGTAATAACCGTCGTATGTTGCATGAAAGATCGCCAAGCAGGGTGACATGGTGCACGTATATCAACGCTTTGAGGGCCAGGCGACACGCACAACACGGTGCCATTGGACGACAAAAGACACTGTACATCCGCAGGAAACAACAGGACAGCGCTGTGGCTGAGAATTTGGACGCTGCAACCATAACTAACGAGACAACACTAACACCAGAGAAGGAGGCGAGGGCCGCTGAAATCTCCACCCTTGCCCATGACCACGCTGTCTCTCTAGTCAACTCAAGGTCTAGGACCAAGACCAAGACCATCCTTACCCATGCCCGCCTTTTTTTCACCCACTGTTGGCATCGGCATCTGCCTCAAGGATCCTCCCCTCCCACACGACACCCTGAGTCTGGATTTGGTATCGGTATCGGAACTGGACTTGGACTCTTCTCGGTGGTCTGGAAGTGAAGGACAGCAACATCTTCCACCAAGATCGAGACCGCTGAGAACATGTCATGGGAGTTGCCCGTCTTGACCACTCTCATCCTCAGCGTACTTGGCTTCTGGTGGATCTATAGCCCTCGTGCCAGCTACCAGAAGGCCCTGCTCTACCTCTTGCTGTGCAGCAGTTTCACCGTCTTCTTCGATCCTCGTCGTCTGATCGAGTACCTGTCCCCCGCCACGGTCGAAGCATTGCTGGATTTCCGCATCCATGTTCTTTTGATCCATCACTCCAAGATGGTCTTGACACTTGGTGCTGTCGTTTGGTGAGTCAACCTCCTCTGTCTCGCCCCTAGTCAACAATTAGAAAACAACTAAGCCCCTTTCCATGGACCGCGCTGACCATTGATTCTCTCTCATTACAGGCTACTGCATCGCTCGTGGCAGACGTTATGGAAACCCGTTCCAGACCTGATCAATATCCTCGGAGTCGACGTGCCTGAACCTCCCGACGTGTCCCTCGCTGGCATTCGATCCGATGCTGCTACTCTGAGCTGGACTCGCCCAACCAGTAATCGGCCGGTACAAAAATATACTATCCAAGTCAATGGTGTTCATGGTCGGTCTTACTGTCGAGATCTATCTCGGAACCTTCGGTAGATGAAAATATCAAGCCCTGACTAACACGGTCCATATAGTTGGCGAATCACCGGGAAACGAAGTCGCGATCACTGTCACAGGATTGAAACCAGATCACTTTTACAATATCAGGGTCGTTGCTGTCGGCCCGAATAACTTCCAGGCTGGAAGTCAAGTTTTACGGCTTCGAACATTCGGAAAAGATGGCAGACCTCAGTTAGGTAACTCACGTGTACCTACCAGCTTTCCTAACAACGACCACTCTCATTCGAAAAATGGTGACGAAGATGACGATTCCGACTCGCAAAAGAAGCCTCCAGTTCCCTCCGTCGAGGCGGCCCCTGTGCTTGATGGCAACAACGCGTCCACCTCTGACGTTAGCGCTACCGGCCCAAGTCAGAGACGAAATACAGTCAATCGACGACACTCCCCATCCGTTGCCAGCATGGACCAACCTCAAATCAAGCTTCCACCTGTAGATGGCCCGGAGCTATCGCTGGATCAACTGAATCTTAAATTCGAATCCACTAGGAAGGATTTGGACGAGACTGTGGCTCAGTATGCCAAGGAAGAGGCTGAACTACAGCAACAAGAGGAAGAGCTCAAACAAGAGAAAGATGTTAAGAGGCAGGCGCTTAAAGAGAAGGAGGAACAGACCGCGCAGCTCAAGGCC